GTCCACGATTATCTTCTGTGTCTGTGTTAATTGGTTTCCCTTTTCTTTGTTGAAGAGGGTCTGTGCAATCCTTCTGCCTAGTCCGCCATCTTGCTGGAACTCTTCAGAAGTTTTTATATTGTCTATTAATACCTAAGGAGCTCGGGTGGCTTTGTGCCTAAGGCATTTGACTGCTAAACAGGAGGCTGGAGGTTCAAACCCACCAGCCACTCCTTGGAAGGAAGACTGGGCAATCTACTTCCATAGAGATAAGCTTCAGAAACCCAAGGAGGGGTCACTATGAGTTAAATCAACTCAATGGCAGTGAGTTTGGTTTCTTTTTGTTTGTTTGTTTTTAGTTAAGACCTAGAAAGTAGAAATGTAGTAATAACAAAACTAATGCAAAACTCTATTTATAAGAAGACTTGCTACCTCTTTTTAAGTTCTGTTTTAAGCAGATGAAAATGGAGCTAGGTAAAGTGATAAAATGGTACTGGGGACAGGAGAGATTATAGGGACAAAAGAGGCTTATAGTCAGTCCACCATGAGAACTGCCCTTCTAAGCAAGTGGACCCAGCATGGTCTAGGATCAGGAAACTTTTCAGTTACTCTGTCCTTGTGGTAAATTCATCTTCTCTGATGTCCATTCTTGATCTTCCAAAAGCAGGGATTAAGTCAAATCATCTTCAAGGTCCTTTCAAGCTTTGGAATTATGAGTCCATGAAATGACTATACAAATCCAAGATAAGGTCTGAAATAGCAAGCACATTATACTGGTACTGTTTAATGATGGAACATTAGCCTTACCACCCTCCCCTCCCAGAAGTATTTAAGTCCATTATAACATAGGTTTACAACTAAACAGTACCAAAATGCTGTTGATGACTTCTACTGTTGCTACCATGCTAGCCTCAGGAGGGTACTGATTTTAGTTTTTCTCAGTGGGAATGCTATTATCATACTGTAGAGGATAATTCTTAGTAAGGAACGGTACTGAGTATTGCAGGGTATTTATCCTCCCTGACTCCTGCCCACCAAATGCCAGTAGACTCTCCTAGTCATTGTGACAACAAAAAATTGTCTTCACACATGTCTAAGTGTCTCCTAGGAGAGCACTACTGCCTTGGGTTGTTAATAACTGTAGGCCAAATTGGGTGAAACAGGTATTTTTCCTTTATACTTAGTAACAAAGATGACAAGACTGGAACATTCAAAAACACTTTTCTAAAGACAAAAAAAAAAGAAACAGAAAAATTGCATTGACATGATTCCGACTCAGGTGACACCACGTGTTGCAGAATTGCTCTGCACTCCACAGGGTTTGCAGGGCCTTTCTTCGAAGGTGCCTCTGAGTGTGTTCCAACTACCAGTCTTTCACGTAACGTTTGAGCACTTCACTGCCTCGCAAGTGATTAGTAAAAAAAAATAAATAACAAAACACAGGAGGTCCCATGAAGTCAAATAACTTGGCTCACAGGATAATGCTAATAATGTTTTAAAGTTAAATAAACTTCCACGTGGCATTTTTAACTCCCATTTCTAACTTTTGCCTCTTGGGGCCAGATAAGGAGAAGAATGAGCCCTAACCTCCTTAACTAGTTGCTTCTCACAGTTCTAGTTTCCTGTCCCAGATCCTTTTCTCCAATATCCTTCTCTTTCAAGGCTGTTTACAATGGTATGGTATCCCATACCAGTGATATTGCCCTTAGCCTTGTAAACTTAACTGGAAATTCAAATTTCAGGATAAACCATCCTGACCTTGATACCAGTGGTGCATGTGGTCTAGTATGTATCTTCAGAGTCTCTTTGGCTCATTTTTTCTGTAAGTATTGATTTTGCCTGAATTAATTTCCTTGGTTCTGCCCCCATGAATATTATCATGTATGTTTCTACCTATTTACAGACAATTGGACTTCTTCAAAGCAGATTGCTGTTAATTAGCTGTCTTGCCAACTGAAATCACTTAATGTTGCAAACTGTTCATTTCAAAGGTATTAACCAAATGCCTCTTCTGTTCCTATGTATTTTAGATGCCCTTGCTGTTGTTATAGAGGTAGCCAACCATGCCAATGACACCATGAAGCAAGGAGTAAGTATCTTGATTTCAGCAGCTGGTGTACAATCAAACCTGGGCCTTCATACGCTCTGCTTTTTCTTTTTGTAGGACAATTTTCAGAAACTTATGCAAATTCAGTACAGCTTAAATGGACACCATGAAATAGTGCAGCCTGGACGAGTAAGTGTTTTAAACTACCTTTTGCAAATTTAACACTATACATTTAGGTGCCATTTTTAGATATGCATTTCAGTTATGAAAATAGGTATTTGTTATTGAAACTCTTCATGGACTTAGTCTGAATCAACTAAGTTCATTTTATCCATTCAAAACATTCATGGTTTAAGTTACTGTGACAAAAAGTCCAATTCAATTTAGGAAAATAGCAAGGGCCCCACAGAGTGTCTGATTAAATGGGATCATGTTATTGTGTAATACTAGCTGAGCTCACACAGCTTGAAAGACAATTTCATTTACAATCTTTAATTTCCAAATAGACATATATTAAAAAAAAGAGACAGAAGAGGGAGAAAATTGCCAATTTGATGTCTCTCAGAGAATACAAAAGTGATCTAGGGAATGATACTGGGAAAATTACAAGAGCAGCTGTCAGGATGTTGATATGCCTCAGAATCAAGTACACACTCAGTCAATTACATGACAGACCACATAGTACCCTTGGGGCCAATATTGGATTTGTGAAACTCTGCTAGCTTATCTAATTCCTATATTACTTAATAGGTTTTAAATGAAACCATGACCAAAGTCACAATGCCCCCACCTACTCCTAAAAAAAACAAAAAAATCGGAGGAAGAAACTATGTATATTTATCCATATACATACATATATATACACATGTGTATATACATATACACACACATACACATGTATATGTGTGTGTGTGTATAGATATAGATATGTATGACTCAACTCTCACTGCTGTTGAGTCAGATCTGGCTCATAGCAACCCCTCCTTGGATTTCCAATGTGGTTTCACTACAGAAGTAGATTTCCCAACCTTCCTTCCGAGGAGTGGCTGATGAGTTTGAACTGCCAGCCTTCTGGTTAGCAGTCAGATGCCTTAGGCACTACTCCACCCAAGCTCCCATATGTGTGTGTATGTGTGTGTGTATGTAAATATTGCCCCATAGGATTTCCAAAGTTGTAAATCTTTATGGAAGCAGACTGCCATATCTTTCTCCCATGAAGCAGCAGTTTGATGAATTCACACTACCAGCCTTTTGGTTGGCAGCCAAGTGCTTTAACCACTGTGCCACCAGGGCACTCACATGTATTTATATAGTATTTGTATTATGATGGTAGGACTAAAAGGTTGGGATTTCTATATTGAAATACTGCTTTCCTTTAATATATGTGTATGTCTATACCCACAAGCAATATATATGTATTGTAGTTGTATTATGATAGTAGATTAAATGGGTGTTTCTTTGGATGGATCAGGTCTTTCTGAAAGAAGGAATTTTGATGAAACTATCCCGGAAAGTCATGCAGCCCCGAATGTTTTTTCTGGTAAGAAGCCATGTGTGGCTCTGTTGTGTCCAAGTCAGGGAGAATTGCTTAATGGAAGGAGGTATTTGTATAAGAGAGACAAGCTTAGTACATTCAAATAATGTTTTAATGGGATCTGTGACTGACTGTATTGCTTACTTGTATTCCAAGTATAGGGAAATAAAGTATGTTATGATGTATAACCAGAACATTATTTCCTGTTGGGATTTAGTTTATTTCATTTGTAATTTGGAAAAATTGTTTTTATTAGTTTTTTTATTTAGGCAGATTGTAATACCTTACTGAGATTGACAATTCAGAAAACATTTAATCTATTATAGGACTGGAAAAGGAAGCACATTTTCCAGTAATTAATTTTTCAGTAATTTTTTAGTAATCTCCTGAAACATCCTACATGGTTCTAGTTTGTATAAACAAAACACAAGTATTTTATTCATAGAGCTATTAGCAAAGAGACAATGTTTTTCTTTCATATCTGTACCTTACCTGTAGCTTTGTAGCTGAAATATGTTTATTTTCCTGGGAAATATTTCTGCTTTCAGTTTAATGATGCCCTGTTATATACAACGCCAGTGCAGTCTGGGATGTTTAAACTAAACAGCATGCTGTCATTGGCTGGCATGAAGGTGGGTTTGTATGTTGGAATTTTTTGTTTTTAAACCCAAGTAGAGAAAAAGTCCTAAGATAACCTTCTTTCTCATATGCTTAACTATCTGTGTTACCATCCATGCATTTGTTTGTTCATTCACGCACTTATTTGTTCCCTCATGCATTAATTCATTCACAGAATAATTGAGAACTACTATTAACAAAACATGGTAATAGGTTTGGTGGAAAATACAAAGATGATTTGAAGCATGATTTTTTTGTGCTCTCTCCTAGCTCCCGGAACTTAACAACTGGTTGAGAAAATAATATACTACTCATAAAAATCTCTGTAACGCAGACAGTAATAAATATCACTTTCAAGGCACAGTTAAAGTTTTTGAGAGTTCAGAAAGTAAAAACATTTGCAGGTTTTGGTGGGGCATAGTGAAGGGATTGGTGGCAGCTAGGAAAGAAGTAGAAGCCTTGAGACTTGACAGGGAGGTCATGTTTATCCATGCTGAGAAGTGGGGGAAAGGCATTCCAGGTTGAGGGGATAGCACGAGCAGTGACTTGAAGGTGGTCATGTTGGGCTTCTGTGGAGGTATTTAAATTTATCTGGAGCACTTAGTAAATGACCAAGAATAGTGTTAGATACAGCTGGTGAGGAAGGTTGGTTGTCAATGTCAGCAGCCAGGGACATAGGAAATTTTGGCTATACTTCAGAGTTGCGATTTTCACTAGAGGATGGGTTTACTTAAATTGTTGTTCTTTTTCCAGGTCAGAAAACCCACCCAAGAGGCGTATCAGAATGAACTAAAAATTGAAAGTGTAGAACGTTCCTTCATTCTCTCAGCCAGGTAAAGTTTTTTAAAAAATGTATAGATGAATTTCCTTAGTTTTACAGAGACAGATATCTCCAGCATTTTTTATAGGGTAACTATTAGATTCTTTTTGTTTTTTAGTCCCTCTTCTCCAATACCATGAATTTACTCTTAATTTACCATTGCAGGTAAATGGCTGAGAGTTGATGGGGTAATATACTAGAAGCAAGAAGATAAAAACATCCTTCTAAATAGACAAATAATACTGAAAAATGATTTACTGATTATACTTTTAAAGTTGAACATTTCAAATGTTTT